TATGAGCAGGCCTTCCCAAACGCAGTGTAGCTATGAAACTCTGATCTCGGAACAGTTGGACAATGTGACTGGACAATGACTGATTAATGAAATGCCGAGGACTTATGGTTTTTTATTATGTTTATTGATGTCAATTGTAATGAATTTTTTTATCTATGTTAAATGTTTTTAATGTTTAAACTATTTTTGTACTGTTGTGGGCATCAAATTGTGCCGTTTTGTAAACTGCCATGAGTTGCCCTCGGGCTGAGAATGGCGGTATAGAAGCGTAGTAAATAAATAAATAAATAAATAAATAATATCAAAAGGGATAGCTTCCTTATTTGCTCATTCTTTCCTCAGTTAGTTTTGGAGGGTGGGGTGGCAGGCAAAAGTGTGAATACTCCCTCAGCAAACCAGGTTAGTACTCAACAGTGGCAAGAAACAATTACCATCTCTCCTCACTTTCACCAGGCAAGAGCAAAGAATCTTAATCCTACCATTCAGAGAAACAACACAGGTTGTGGCTATTGCTCCACGTATGTTATCTCCACAGTTTTCTCCACCTAGCAACAAAGAGGCAACCTTCAAATAATAATAATAATAATAATAATAATAATAATAATAAACTTTATTTATACCCCGCCACCATCTCCCCCAACGGGGACTCAAAATGAAGGGATTGCTTGTCCTTTTGCCTTTCATACTTTGGGCAGCACGACTTGAATAAAGAAGACTCCCATAAAAGTATAAGTAGCTGTTTCTTGGATGCAGTGTCCAAAAAGGAAAGTCAAACTAATGGTGGGATTTCCTTCTCGAAGAGGTGGCTAGTAGATTGATGTTGGTCCACAAGCCTTTGACTGCCAGTCCTTGACAAATTTCCAAGAATGGAAGAGTCAATTGCAGCCGATGGGCACATGGTGCTCATTGGTGCAGTGAAGAAAAAAACCTGAGGGTTCATCACATCTGGCAGCTTAAGAAGAACTGCTCTATGTAAGAAAACAGTCATTAGGATGCATGCCTCAATGGCCTAATCTTCATAAACATACAACCGAAAAAGAGACATGTGAGGGCTACAATAAGAAATCAATCCACTTCAGTTATTTACCTCACAGCAGAGAGGGCTAAAGGCATCAAGGAAATAGAAGCTACTGGGCATGTGATGTAAAAGATACACACAAAAACACACACTTGTGGAAAGAGCCTGATGTGCATCTCTCAGTATTAGCTGGTGCATCTAAAGAGTGCAATAATTAGCATGAAAACTCATGCGAAGGCCAGTCTCAAAGGTGCTTAACTTTCCTATGGAAGCAGGCCTTCCCTGATAGTGAAGAGTACTATTGAAAACGCCAGTTTTATGTGTGCAATATATGCATTATAGTGGACCTCCGACAATGGACCTGACAACGGTCTAAAGGAATGGATTTTAGTTTTAGTTTGGGGTTTTAATCAACTGAATATTTAAATTGTTGTTTTTTGCTAGTGATGTATAACGTGTGTTGTGGGTTTATAATTTTATCAGATATGTTTTGATCTGTTGATTATGTTTATCTTTATGTATGATATGCTTGTTTACATGAGTCCCAATTTGGGAGAAAATAACTACCCTGTTTCCCCTAAAATAAGACAAACCCATAAAATAAGCCATAGCAGGAGTTCTAAGCATTTGCGCAGTACAAGCCATATCCCAAAAATAAAACATGATAGGCGTGGCTATGCGGCATACAAGGTCGGCTCCCCGTCAAGTCCCGGTTGTTTTGTGCATGCTACAACCCGAGGCATAGAGTCATAGAAAGTGAAAGTAAAAGTGTGCTCACTGAAATGAGGAGTAGGATGCTCTGCTTTAAGTATTGTGTGTCCTCAGGGGAAGAAGTAAAGCTGTGGCTGCTCTTTTACTCAGCACTGTGGGTCTCTCTCCCACAGCACCAACCAGCAACAGTCTGTGGGTCTCTCTCAATCCCCACAAACACCAGTCAAGCTGCTGCTTCCCAGCACTGACCAGCAACGAGAGTATGCTGGCAATGCTGCCCTAGCAAAGGAAAAACCACTCTGGCACGGAGAAAGAGGCGGAGAAAGGGGCGGGGAGAGAGGCGGAGTCTCGTGACGTCATGGACGTGCTGGCACAGTTTGCTCCCGCAGGAGGCTAGTTTGCGACGGCTCTATCACCTCATACAAACACCAGGGGGTAGGGGAAAAGCTTCAGGAAGCAGTCTGCTACTGAGCCCAGAGAGATCATCCCATAAATGCAGATTGTTGTACCATCTATCTATATATATATAAATGCTCTGTGCATAATGACTACCATAAAAACAAAAGAACCAATGAATGAAATCACACCAAATTTGACAACAAAACGTGTCACAACACAAGGAGTGACCATCACTCAAAAAAATTATGATTTTGTCATTTGGGAGTTGTAGTTGCTGGGATTTATAGTTCACCTACAATCAAAGAGCATTCTGAACTCCATCAACGATGGAATTGAACCAAACTTGGCACACAGAACTCCCATGACGAACAGAAAATACTGGAAGGGTTTGGTGGGCATTGACCTTGAGTTTGTTGTAGTTCACCTACATCCAGAGAGCACTGTGGACTCAAACAATGATGGATCTGGACCAAACTTGGCACAAGCACTCAATACGCCCAAATATGAACACAGATGGAGTTTGGGGGAAATAGACCTTGACATTTGGGAGTTGTAGTCACTGGGATTCACAGTTCACCTACAATCAAAGCGCATTCTGAACCCCACGAACGACAGAATCGGGGCAAACTTCCCACACAGAACCCCCATGACCAACAGAAAATACTTAAGGCCATCCAATCCAACTCCCTTCATCAGGGCAAGAAAACATAATCAAAGTCCTCCTAACAAAGAGCCATCCAGCCATAGATATAGATAGATATGATTCACACACACACAGATATAGTATCATAGATTTGAAAGGGACCCTTAAAGAAGGACAATGATAGGTTGCATGTTCCAGGGTGGGCAAACCAGACACTCTCCACATCAACACTGACAAAGAAACAGCAAGAAATACTGTTTACCCACAAGCATAAAGAAATTACATATATTAGAAACCAACACTTTCTCATTACTCTATTTTCCAGATCAACAGACAGGGCCACAGCAATGCGTGGCTGGGGATGGCTAGTATTTAATAAAAAATAAGACATACCCTGAAAATGAGCCATAGTGTGTCTTGAGGAAAAATAAATACAAGACAGTGTCTTATTTTCAGGGAAACCATGATATAAAAAGTTAATAACAATTGGTGAAAATGTAAAGTTTTCCCCTGACATTAAGTCCAGTCGTGTCTGATTCTGGAGGGTGGTGCTCATCTCAATTTCTAAGTCAAAGAGCCAGCATTGTCAATAGACGCGTCAAGGTCATGTGGCCGGCATGACTGCATGGAGCACTTACATGTTTTCGAACTGGTAGGTTGGCAGAAGCTGGGGCTAGCAACAGGAGCTCACTCCACTCCCTGGATTCGAACCGCCAAACTTTCGGTCAGCAAGTTCAGCAGCTCAGTGGTGGCACAGTGAGTTAAACCCTTGTGTCAGCAGGACTGAAGACCGACAGGCCACAGGTTCAAATCCAGGGAGAAGGCGGATGAGCTCCCTCTGTCAACTCCAGCTCCCCATGTTGGGACATGAGAGAAGCCTCCCACAAGGATGGTAAAACATCTTGGAGTCTCCTATGCAACATCCTTGCAGACGGCCAATTCTCTCACACCAGAAGCTACGTGCAGTTTCTCGGATCGCTCCTGGCACACACACAAAAAGCAGTTTAATCTGCTGTGCCACCGGGGGCTCTCAACAATAGGTAGATGCTGGATAAAGATAGTTTCCTGTTATTGTCGAAGGCTTTCATGGCCGGAATCACTGGGCTGTTGTAGGTTTTTTGGCTATATGGCCATGTTCTAGAGGCATTCTCTCCTGACGTTTCGCCTGCATCTATGGCAAGCATCCTCAGAGGTATGGCCATGTTCTAGAGGCATTCTCTTCTGATGTTTTGCCTGCATTTATGGCAAGCATCCTCAGAGGTACCTCACTACCTCTGAGGATGCTTGCCATAGATGCAGGCGAAACGTCAGAAGAGAATGCTTCTAGAACATGGCCATATAGCCCGAAAAAACCTACAACAAGCCATATTTATTTATTTATTTATTTAAAGTACTTCTACCCCGCCCTTCTCAACCCCCGAGGGGGGACTCAGGGCGGCTTACAAAAAGGCACAATTCGATGCCTACACAAAATACACATAATGTACAAAACCATAGTTAAAACAATTATCACAGTTAAAACAGTCGGTATATAACACATCAATAAAACTAATCTCATGCTCAGCGTTCGTCTTTCAGAGTTCCATAATTCCATTCCATTAGTCCTGTCCATCGTCAAAGTCCTTTCTTTATCTGCCAGATTGTCCGAATGCCTGGTCCCAAATCCATGTTTTCAATTTTTTCCTAAAGGAGGAGGGATGTCGCTGATCTAATTTCCCCGGGGAGTGAATTCCACAGGTGAGGGGCCACCACCGAGAAGGCCCTGCTCCTCGTCCCCCCCAACCTCACTTGTGATAGAGGTGGGTCGAGAGCAGCGCCTCCCCAGAAGATCTTAGACTCCGAGGTGGGACGTAGAGGTTTCCTGTTGCTTGAGAGTTCCAGTTAATTGAGAGTCTACTGTGATTTGGCACGACTTTGAACCATGGCATTACAGCAGAGCTTCCTGGCAGAGAAGACTAACCTTTGCTTTGCGTGGCTGCATCAACACCTGAGGTTTGTAATTTAGAATACACTTTGACACCACTTTTACTGCCATGGCTTAATGCTATGGAATGATGGGAGTTGTAGTTTCGGATGCTCTTCAGCCTTCTCTGGCAGAGAAGGCTGATCCCCATACTACAGGCCCTAGCAAGCTTCCCTGGCAGTTCAAAGTGGTACAAAAGTGAGGAAAGGCTGCCTAGATGGTGCAAACAAGGGCGTTGCATGGGAAACCACACCTCTTGTGTTTACCTGCCACCCTTGCCTTCTCGGCCCGCCGTTCGGCAATGGCGCCCGGCGGTGCTCAGGGGAGAGCGGTCGGGGTCGCTGCCCTTTCCCCCCTCGCCGGCGCTGTTGCTAAGATTCTGCGTCATAGCCCCCGACGTCACCGCCTTTTGAGGAAACCTCAGGGTTCCGGTTGAGAGGAAACGAAACCCCCGCGCCTTCCGCACTCCATCGCGCAAAGGAGCGGAGCAAAAGGCTTCGGAAGGAAGAAGGGCCGCGATTGGTTGCGCTCAGGGGAGGGCTTCTTTTCTATAGGCTGATGTCACCACTTGAGGCGGGAGTAGAAACAGAAGCGCTATTCCTATTGGTTGTTGGCGCAGAGGCGGTTCAGAGCCTCCTGTCTTGTGACCTCAAGCCGTCCTGTTTTTCCCTCAGAAGAGGGAGGAAAGGGAATTGGCTTCAAAAGCCCGCTCCTTGGCGCCTTCGGCTCGCGCCGCTTCTGATTGGCTGGCTGGGAAGCGCGCGGAGGATGAGCCTTTTAAAAGCTGTTGGGATAACGGCTGAAGCAGGCACATCTGACTTGGAGTGTTAATGCAGTTTGACGCCACTTTAACTGACATGGCTCAATGAAAGGACCAAGGCAGAGACATCTCCAGCTCATCCCCTGTTTGGGTATCAGCCAGCAGATCTACAGAGACACTCGCTGGAACACCTCAGCAAGTGAGGTGTTCCAACTGAGTATGCATGCTGCTGAGTATGCATGCCCAGACACATCTCACCACACTAAAACAGTGGATGTGGCTCATAATGAGACATGCCACATTATCACGAGGTGTCTGCGTCCTACACCACTGGAGAAATTACACAGTCTAGCTGGTATCGCACCACCTGACATGCGCCGGGAAGTAGCAGCCAATAGTGAAAGGACCAAGGCAGAGACATCTCCAGCTCATTCCCTGTTTGGGTATTAGCCAGCACGTCAACGACTTAAATCCAGACATAGTTTCCTAAGATCTACAGAGACACTCGCTGGAACACCTCAGCAAGCGAGAGTCCAAAAGTGGCAGGCTCAAACCCGGAACCTCAACTAATGGCTGATACCAAATGAGAGACTCCCCCCTGGGCACACAGAAGACTGGGCGACTTGGAAGGCGCCGAACAGACTGCACTCTGGCACCAGGAGATGCAGAGCCAACGTTCAGAAATGGGGCTACAAAGTGGAATCCTCGACATGCGAGTGTGGAGAAGAGCAAACCAGAGACCACCTGCTGCAATGCAACCTAGCCCTGCCACATGCACAATGGAGGACCTTCTTGCAGCAACACCAGAAGCACTCCAAGTGGCCAGATACTGGTCAAAGGACATTTAATCAACTACCAAACTCACAAATTCTGTTTGTTTGCTTTGTTCTGTTAGAAATGTAATATAATTTGACTGGTTGTCCTGACACGACAAATAAATGAGGTGGAATCCTGAGAATTGAACCGTGGTGTTGGAGGAAAGTGCTGAGAGTGCCTTGGACAGCGCGAAGATCCAACCAGTCCATACTTCAGGAAATAAAGCCTGACTGCTCATTGGAGGGAAGGATAGTAGAGGCCAAGATGAAGTACTTTGGCCACATCATGAGAAGACAGGAAAGCTTGGAGAAGACAATGATGCTGGGGAAAATGGAAGGAAAAAGGAAGAGGGGCCGACCAAGGGCAAGATGGATGGATGGTATCCTTGAAGTGACCTTGAAGGAGCTGGGGGTGGTGACGGCAGACTTGGCATTTTATTAAATGTCCTTTGACCAGTAGCTGGCCATTTGGAGCGCCACTGGTGTTGCTATAAGAAGGTCCTCCGTTGTGCATGTGGCAGGGTTCAGGTTACATTATAGTAGGTGGTCAGTGGTCCACACTCACATGTTGTGGACTCCACTTTGTGGCCTCATTTCTTAAGGTTGGGTCTGCATCTCATGGTGCCATAGTGCAGTCTGTTTAGTGCCTTCCAAGTTGCCCAGTTTTCTGTGTGACCAGGAGGGAGTTTCTCATTTGGTATCAGCCATTGATTGAGGTTCTGGGTTTGAGCCTGCCACATTTGGACTCTTGCTTGCTGAGCTGTTCCAGCAAGTGTCTCTGTAGATCTTAGAAAACTATTTCTTGATTTAAGTTGTTGGCGTGCTGGCTGATACCCAAACGGGATGGGACAAATATATCAATGCTTTGGTCCTTTCACTACTGGTTGCTACTTCCCGGCGGATGTCAGGTGGTGCAATACCATCTAAACACTGTTTTATTATGGTGAGATGTGTTCGACACTGGGCATGCATATTCAGCAGCAGAGTAGCAAAGTGCAAGGGCAGATGTCTTCACTGTATCTGGTTGCAATCCCCAGGTTGTACCAGTCAGCTGGAGACCATGAATCCGTACAAGGAGCGGCTTAAAGAGTTGGACATGTTTAGCCTCCAGAAGAGAAGTTTGAGAGTAGACATGATAGCCATGTTTAAATATCTGAACGGATGTCACAAGAAAGAGGGAGCAGGCTGGTTTGCTGCTGCCCTGGAGACTCTGACTCAATGGAGCAATGGGTGCAAATTACAGGAAAGGGTATTCAGCTGAAACATTAGGAAGAACTTGTAAGAGCTGTTCAACAATGGAAATCCCTGCCTTGGAGTGTGGTGGAGGCTCCTTCTTTGGAGGCTTTTAAAAAGAGGCTGGATGGCCATCTGTCAGGTGTGCTTTGATTGTTCTTTTCCTGCTTGGCAGGGGGTTGGACTGGATGGCTCATGTGGTCTCTCCCAACTCTGATTCTACATTTATCTGGCCTCTTCCAATCCCAGTTATATATCCATGCTTTGTGAGTTTAGCTATGTAGTCAGTAACTGTTTCATTAGTCTCACTGATGTGGAGATATTGGAAATATAGATATTTATACATATATTTTATGTACATCAGAAACACTGAAATGTAGAAAAAATCAAGTTCTCTGTATTTGGACAGCACAGAAAGAATGCTGAAGGAGATCTGTGTAGAAAGGGGGAGGAGAAGGGGAGCCTGTTATCTATACATTCTACAAACAGGTACAGCTTAGCACAGGCCATACCTTCTTACATCTAAAAAGTAAGGTGGTGCTCTCTCCCTCCCTCCTGAAAGGTCAAAAAAGGGCCCCTTGATGGATCTATAGTTGAACCCTAGTATCTCTAACTTGCTGTAAGCTACTCCTTAGATAGAAAAAAATTCTGAGACGCCCCATGCATGTAAAAAAATATAATTTGATATTTCTATGATGCTTAAGGTGATGTAGTGATGATGTTACATATGTAGAAACATGTTTCTTTGTTTGCCTGCATTTGAAGATGTATGAAAGGGAAGTCAATGTCTTTATTCTCACTCAGGTTTCCTCTTGGAGGAGATTCCATACCAGGGTCTCAGCTGAAAATAAAAACGTACTTTTCTGCATCCCAAAAGAATCACGCTTGGTATTATCTCTCCTATCAACCGCAACATCATCAGGATTCATAATCTGTAAATTTCCATCCACAACCTCCTTGTGACTTTTTTCTAAGAGTATAATCATATTTTCAGGATTTTTCAAATAAGGGTCTTGTTCCCTATGCACTTTGATATTTGAAAAAGGTAATATAACCATTTTTGCCTTCAAATATTAGTTAGGATAGGACACAGGAACCTATAAGAATTGGCAAGGAATAGGTGTTGGAGCCCCTGGTGGTGCAGTGGGTTAAACCACTGAGCTGCTGAGCTTGTTGACCAAAAGGTCGCAGGTTTGAATCCAGGGAGCGGCGTGAGCTTCCGCTTTCAGCCCCAGCTGAAAGCTCCAGCGGGAAGGTAACGGCGCTTCATGCAGTCATGCTGGCCACATGATCTTTGAGGTGTCTATGGACAACGCTGGCTCTTCGACTTAGAAATGGAGGTGAGCACCACACCCCAGAGTCAGACATGACTGGACTTAATGTCAGGGGGAAAGCATTACCTTTACCTTACCTTTGCTTTACCAACTGGATTTTCAAAAGGACCTCCTGAATGAGAATAAGCATTATTCTTATTAATTGCTGTGTATTGAACTTCAAGTTATCACAACCTTATGAATGAGAGACATCCAAGTCATCCTGTTACCAACAGCTCTATTCTGGTATTCAGCATGCAAGAGCCAGAGTTTACTTGTTTTGTCGCATACTGAAAGTCAACAACTGGGCAACAGGGAAAGTGATGAACAGGCTGCGCTCTGGCACCATGAGATGCAGAGCCATTCTTAAGAAATGGGCATACAAAGTGGAGTCCACCACATGCAAGTGCGAAGAAGAGCAAACCACAGACCACTTACTACAGTACAATTTGTTCCCTGCCACAAGCACAATGGAAGACCTTCTCACAGCAACACCAGAGACACTCCAAGTGGCCAGCTTCTGGTCAAAGGAAATTTAGTATAAAGCCAAGTTTTTAACTTCGTGGTTTTTTATACATTATCTGTATTCTCAATTTATGTTTATCCCATTTTTATCACTTGATTGAGATCCAAAGTGGTTGATAACACTACAAAAATGCAATTTAAAAACCACAACATACAAATATTAAAAAGGATTAAACAAGTCCAACATTTCAAGGGCTTCATGATTCCCATAACTGCTGCATACCTTTTTTCTGTACATCTTCTTCAAAATATACTCTTCTTGTGGTGGTTTTACACAAATAAAAAATGGACATATATGCTTCTGTATCCGATTTAGCCACTAGGGAGTGGTATAAAACTGTGTACAGATAATAAAGCAATATATTGTCAAAGGCTTTCATGGCCGGAATCACTGGGTTGTTGTAGGTTTTTCGGGCTATATGGCCATGTTCTAGAGGCATTCTCTCCTGATGTTTCGCCTGCATCTTTGGCAAGCATCCTCAGAGGTAGTGAGGTCTGTTGGAACTAGGAAAATGGGTTTATATATCTGTGGAATGACCAGGGTGGGACAAAGAACTCTTGTCTGTTGGAGCTAGGTGTGAATGTTTCAACCTAATCAAGGTGGTCAGTTGAAACATTCACACCTAGCTCCAACAGACAAGAGTTCTTTGTCCCAATGTGGCATATTCCTCTTGAGGGTGCCAGTAAGTCCGCCTTAAGGATACTCGGTTCAACGCCTTCTATCAACATCTGAGAGTGTTCTTCACCTGATGATCATCCTTAACCCTCATGACATTACTCATGTGAAAGGCTTGCCTTAGGGTTGCCCCTGATGGCATACAGTAACAACAACAATGCTGCTTCTGTGTTCAACTGGCAAAAATA